GACCTCCCTGTTCTGCGTCTGCACTCAGACACAGGTGGTGAGTTTTTCTCCGACCTTCTGAGGGCCTTCTGTCGTGCGGAAGGCATCCGCCAGTCGTTCACGCTTCCGGCCTCCCCACAGCAAAATGGGATTGCTGAGCGCCGCATTGGCATGGTCATGGACGTCGCTTGTACGCCCATGATCCTTGCAGCTGCTCCCCATTTTCTGTGGCCGTTCGCGGTTCAGTATGCTGCGCATCAGATCAACCTTCAGCCTCGTGTCTCTTTGCCGGAGACCACACCTACTCTGCGGTGGACGGGGAAGGTTGGCGATGCGTCTGCGTTCCGTGTCTGGGGATCTCGAGCTTTTGTCCGCGATACTACAGCGGACAAGCTGTCCTCCCGTGCCGTTCCCTGCGTCTTCCTTGGCTTCCCCCCTGACGCACCCGAGTGGCAGTTTTACCACCCCACCTCGCGTCGTATTCTGTCCTCTCAGGACGTCACGTTTGACGAGTCGGTGTCTTACTACCGTCTCTTTCCCTACCGCACTGCCTCTCTCCCCCCCCCGCCACTCTTCCTAGCACCAGGTACTCCTCCGGTAGTCCCCCTCCCCCCTCAGGGTCCTGCCCCCTCCGGTGTGTCCCAGGTAGACCCTGCCGAGCCGGTCGAGGTAGCTGTCAACTCAGGTGCTGCTAGGGGTGCTGAGCCTGCGGGTGCGGGGACTGGGGGTGCTGAGCCTAGGGTTTCTGTGTCTGAGGGTGCAGAGCCTGGGGGTGCTGAGCCTGAGCGTGTGGAGCCTGGGGGTGCTGAGCCTGGGGGTGCGGAGTCTGGGAGTGCTGAGCCTGGGGGTGCTGAGCCTGAGCGTGCTGCGTCTGGAGGTCCTCCGGGTGTCCCGTCGCGGCGGGAGCCCCTCTCTCCGCAGCAGCTTTGTGAGTTGTACGCTCGGCGCTGTCGAGGTGCTGCTGGTGCTGCTGGAGCTGCTGGAGGTGCTGCTGGAGGTTCTTCTAGAGCTGCTGGAGGTGCTGCTGGTGCTGGAGTTGCTGGAGGTGGTACTGGAGGTACTGGTGCTGTTGGAGGTCCTGCTGGTGTTGGAGCTGCTGGAGGTGCGGGAGCAGCTGGTCCTGGAGGTGCTCGTACTGGAGGTACTGGAGCTGCTGGGACTGGTGGTGCTGCAGGAGTTGGAGCTGCAGGTGCTAGAGCTGTTGCTACTGGAGGTGCTTCTGGAGCTGGAGCTGCTGGAGGTACTGGAGCTGGTGTTGCGGGAGTTGTAGCTGGCGACCTTGGAGCTGAGGGTACTGGTGCTGTCTCTGCTGTTTCTGGCGGCGCTGCTGTCACTGCGCGGCCGCGGCTGTACTACGTTCCGCTCCTTCAGCAGGTTCTTGGTCTCCCGCCTTCTCCTGGTCCTCCTCGTCCTTTACTGAGTCCACCGCCTGTCCAGTCACAGTCGCAGTTACAGCCGACCTCTCCACTGCCTGGTCCTTCTCCTTACTCTGGACCGACTAGAGGTCTTACGAAGTGTCGTGAGCCTGAGTCGCGTCCTGTGTCGCCTGAGTCTCGTCCTGCGTCACCTGAGTCTCGTTCTGCGTTGCCTGTCCGCACTGTTCGCACTGGTCGTCGTGTTTCGCGTCCGCGTCCTCCTCCTGTCCCTGGCACTCACTCTATGACTCTGCGTCCTTCCTCTGCTCCGCAGCGTGTCCCTCTGCCGTCTCCTCCTGCGTCCTCTCTTCCTGACGGTCCGGACCCAGAGTCTGACTCCCTTCGTGCTGCTAGTCCTACTGTCTCGCGCTTTCTGGCCACTGCTGTCACTGACCCTTTGTTTGAGAGTTGCAGTAGCGTGGTCAGCTTCGTCTTGCTTACGTGGCCACTAGGGCCAACGCTGCTGATATATTCACCAAGGCACTTCAGTCTGGTGATCATTAGCGTTTTTATACTGTTTGAGGCCTTGTGCCTACTTTGCCTTACTTGCTTACTGCGTGACTTTGCTTGTACAATGATCTATATATATACATGCATGCTTACACTTGCTAGGGTATGATCAGTGTACTGTTTGCTCTCTTTTATATAACTCTACATGTGCACTGGTCTTGTGGCCTTTGCTTGTGCCCGAAATGTGTGGTGACTTCGTGATCCACCCTGAGCTTGCTTTTCTTTTCTTGACTGGTCTTGTGACCACTTGTTCTCCCACACTTTGCCTATGGGGGTGTGTCAAAATGTTACATTGCTTACTTTCTGTGGGCTATAGTGGGGTAGCCCAGAAGGGGTACAACCCAATTAGGGATAGTACTTGTACCCAACTCCTTGCTTCCCCTTCAGGTCAATCAGCATCTGTAGGAGCTCTAGTCGGCATTCCAAAGCCCAACACAAGTACTGGAACGCTTGCTTGTCCTTGCGGTCCCATGCTTCCTGTGCCTTAAGTAGCTCCTCCGCACTAAGTCGGTGCCTTCCGGTTCGCGGTGCTGCTGATCCACCTCCACTTCCCTCACTTATAGATGAGCTAGAGGCTCCCCCAGCCCCTGCTCCCTCTTGGCTAGACACTCCAGCAGATGCCTCTGCTTCATCAGCTCCAGGTCTTTGCTCCGATCCCTCCAAAACGCCTTCTAGGTCTTTGATACCTAGCCAAAGCGTAAACTGGAACCGCCATAGCGAAAAATCCGAGCCGGTGAACCTAGGAGGGCCATCTAATTTCTGGGCCATGACCAACCCTATATCTGGAGGTCCTTCAACCAATTCGAAATTTGATGACAAGAGGGAATGTCGCAGGCCTAACCAGCTCTGATACCACTGATGGAAAGCGCGTGAATCTGGAGAGCGTACAAGAGATTAAGTCCGCCGAATTCGACGGAACATTACGTGCAGTTCACGTAACCTTCAACTATGAGCAGGCACGCGTTGGAAAGTTCTTAATCTCTAATTTCCAGAATGGTAACGCCCGCTTTCAACCAAGATCTAGGCCGATCGCTATCGCGATTTAAGTACGACGGGGTGTCCTGGCGGAATTACTTGGCAGCCATGGATTAGATATAGCAATGGCTTAAGCTAGAGTTCAGATCTGAAAAGTGACGAGTTTGACAAACCCTACCATCCCAACCCTCGCCATACAACAATCCCCAACAACCCAAAATGCCAAACTAGCAACACCAAAGGTGTTGTAGTGGTTAGCAAAGGTTTGTTGGTGCTTGTTTGGTGCGAGATCAAATCCAGACCGTAACAAGTCTAGCAATCATATTTTGCCCAAACCCTTAGCCCACAACCAGCTAGAGCAAAATACCACAACCACCTACACAATCAACACTCCCCCTTGCTCGTGTTGGAGGTGGCTGAACACCACTGGGCAAAATCCTTCACTCCACTCCCCTTTGCCCAGGGAGGGGCGCCATCCATAGCATGATGTCGTTAAGGCAGAGAAGCACCAGCCCTCCCACATCGTGCTCAAGCACTATGCCAACATGGGGCTGCATCCCCGTGAAGGACATGCACACACCGTGCCGCTCAAAAGGAAGGGGTTTGGTGAGTATGTCTGCTGCTTGACGGTTGGTTGGGCACCACCGGAGGATCACCTCGCCGCTTGCCACCATCTCCTTGATGAAATGCCACCAAACCTGCATGTGCTTGGTGCGGCCATGCAATCATGCATTGTGTGCAAGGGCAATGGTAGACTGGTTGTCCACAAACACAGGCACACCACCATCAAACTCATGCCCAAACTCCCCAAACAAATGCTTCAGCCACACACCTTCCTGAATGCACTGACACAGACTGATGTACTCACTCTCAGTGGTGGAAAATGCAACCACCGGCTGCCTCTTGCTCTGCCAAGAGATGGCTGCACCATTAAGGCAATAGACATAGCCGGTGTGACTCTTGCGATCAGCTGAATCTCCAGCATAATCAGCATCACTAAAGCCCACCAACTCAACTTGAGGCTTGCTGTGTGCGGGGTAGAAGATACCTGACTTGACACAACCTTTCAGGTACCTTAGCACTCTCTTAGTAGCCTGTAGGTGAAATGCCTTGGGACAAGACACCACCTTGGACAGCTGTGACACGACATAAGCAATCTGGGGCCGAGTGGTCGTGCTTGCATACTTGAGAGACCATGTAAGCATGCATTCTGTGCAAGGGCAATGGCAGACTGGTTGTCCACAAACACAGGCACACCACCATCAAACTCATGCCCAAACTCCCCAAACAAACGGTTCAGCCACACACCTTCCTGAATGCACTGACACAGACTGATGTACTCACTCTCAGTGGTGGACAATGCAACCATGCAAGCATGCATTCTGTGCAAGGGCAATGGCAGACTGGTTGTCCACAAACACAGGCACACCACCATCAAACTCATGCCCAAACTCCCCAAACAAACGCTTCAGCCACACACCTTCTTGAATGCACTGACACAGACTGATATACTCACTCTCAGTGGTGGACAATGCAACCATGCAAGCATGCATTCTGTGCAAGGGCAATGGCAGACTGGTTGTCCACAAACACAGGCACACCACCATCAAACTCATGCCCAAACTCCCCAAACAAACGCTTCAGCCATGCACTGCACCTTCCCGCTCTGTTCCTCCTTCCCTCGTTGCTTCTTCTTCACGCCTTCATCTGGCCCTTCCGAGCCGCGTGTCTGTTTTGGCGCGCGAAACTCATTACCCTTGCCTCGTCCCTCCGATGGTAGTCACTCTAGGGCCATCTGTTTCCGGCTCACACGCAACGACTCGTCAACTAGGGTGATCATTCGAAGTATAAAGGAAGGCAGTTTCGAAGAATGGCAATCACCAAGTGGCAGCAGTCGCCCGCAGCATCTCCGATCGTAGATCTGCTGCATGCAAGGTGCTTAATGGTGCAATGTCACAACATTAGTCACCCACAATGCGAAGCAGTGCCGTTTTCATTACCTGTTGGTAACCGCTCGTTGCTGCTCGGTGACAACAGTTGCACCCTGCTTACAACGGCCCGTGGCCACTAGATTCGACAAAGTGAAGCATGCTGCATCTACTTTCTTCCACAGCGCTGAATATGCCCCTTCAGTCCGGTATTTTCGGTGGTCATCCCTCCTTGGCTTCTGCACCGTTCGATCCTTCGTTGGACAGCTCAGATGTCCCGGTCGGCAATGCCACATCCGTGTTCAATCTGACGGCCATCCGTCTGCACAACCGGCCCGCATTCTTCCTCGCGCAGACCGTCATCAACGCCACACTCTCCCCTGCCTCCCCGCTCCATCCACTCGCGACTACCCTCATTGACGCCGCGTCGCCCCTTCTGGACGGCATTCTTCGTCAGTACCTGCATAACGATTTTTTCGCGGGAAGCCTATGGCTTGTCGCGCTCGGGTTCATCAGCCGAACCCTGATGACCTATTTGCAGGTCGTATGGAGCTACGTAATTCGGCGTGGGAATGTCACCATCAGCATCTCTCCGGACAACCAGGCATTCCAGTGGGTGGAGGAGTGGCTAGACTCATACAAGGAGTTAAAGCCGTCAGAATTTTCCCTGCAGGTCAACTGGGAGGACAGTGACGGCGCGAATTCGTCCCCTGACAAGCCCGAGCTTCGATTCATGCCCAAGCTTAAAGCCGCCCAGCACATCACCTTCAGGGGGTCGAAGGTTTTTTTCCAGATGAAAAACAGCCCCGGGCAGCTTGACAGCGAAGCAGAATTTTCTGAGCTCCTCCGATCAATGAATCGGGAGGAGCTGGTGATTGAAGGTCCCTGCAAGGCCGTGCTACAGGCGGTGCTACAGGCCGCTACAGATGCAGCCATGGCGAAACGGCAGGCAAAGAAGCTGACAGCCATCCAGAGGTGGAACTGCAGGCAGTTCTGCTGGCGGTGGTCGGCGAATAAGCAGGTCCGTCCGATGTCCAGCGTGGTCCTGGATTGCGACACGTCAGCGCTGCTGGAGGACGCTCGGGAGTTTCTGGCGGGCGCCAAGTGGTACGCGGAGCGCGGCATTCCTCACCGGCGGGGGTATCTGTTCCACGGGCCCCCGGGGTGCGGCAAGACGTCCCTCATCCAGGCCATGGCGGGCGAGCTGGGGCTCGGTGTCGCCGTCATCAGCCTTGCTTCCTCCGGCATGAGCGATGACTCGGTGAGCGTGGCAAGGGGCTGCAGGTCGGTGTTTTGTTTGTCAGTTTCATGTGGTGATTTGGTCCCTGCAGGAATGTAAGGACACAGTGATTTGCCACACTCTCCCACTCTCCCTGCCCACCCTTTTCCATCTCATTTTCGTGTCTGTCTGCCTTTTTACTAAGTCTTCCACCCTGCCCTCCTTTTTTCACTCTCCTATTCCCTGCACACAGCGCTGACCAACTGTGACCAGTGCAACCTGCTGGTACTGGAGGACATCGTGCCGCCTTCACTGTGTCCTTACATTCCTCCCATTCATCCCCCCCTCCCCCCCTGATTCAACCCCTTCCCCCCTCTTGCCATGCAGCTGCACACAGCACTGACCAACTGCGACCAGTGCAACCTGGTGGTGCTGGAGGACATCGACGCCGCCTTCACTGCCGTGCGCTCCAAGGCCAACGCCACTGTCCAATGTTACATACTGGCGCACTGTCCAATGTTACACCTGTTTCTGTAGTTGCAGCTAACTTGCAGCAAATGCAAGAGTTGTCCTGTAAATGCCTTGTTTTTCTGAATCCACACCTTTTTTGCCCACCTCGAAGGCTAATTTGACTAATCTGAATAGGTACCATTGGTCGTCCCATTAATATTGATACTGGTACCGTATCACCCCGAATAGAATCGCAAGTGCGCTTATAATAAAGCAATGTTTTTTAGGGGGGTGCACTTCTAATTGAGTCATTTTTATAAGCGCATGCGCTTATATAATGACATATATAAATTTAAGACACCAAATTGTATATTTCACTCTTGCCATTTCAACCGAGTCGAAAAATTTCACATCACAAAGATGAATCGCCTGCAAGCGATTCTCTTCCAGCACACAAGTGCCAAGATGCAACACTTTGCAGTCATGCCAGCACATCATGACTGTACGCGCAGCCAGTCAGGTCTTCGAGAGTCAGGGCCCTAGATATCAGACTTTTTACTCTGATTCAAAGTTCGTTCAGACTTTTTTTTGGTACCTAGGCTGAACTCAAAGTTTTCTTTTATGTACCTTGTCTGATTTTTCAGAGTTTTTTTTTTATGACTTGGCTGAAATTTCAGCCTAATTTTATGAGTGTAGGCTGAACCCTCAGCCTTGTATCGGGGGTGCACACTGAATCCGGCAATACCGGGATTTCCGCCAGCCTGTAGGATTATCGGTAACACTGTCAATTGTCAGTAGATCTGCACTGTGGCTGCCCGATTGATCCTTGGGGGGGTTACAGGCGCGTTCGCCTGGGGGGTTATGGGTGTAGGGCTGTTTCAAGGCTAAGATCAGTGTTGAAGTAGGGATGTTGTAATTGTGGAAGCGTTAATAAGAATTGCTTGAACCACCTTGTACTGGTGTGTGAGAACAAGATAAGTTGATTACCGTATTCTCCCGGACAAAACACCCCCCCATAATTGTACACCCCCGGGTAGCTTGTGCGGGGTGGGTGTTATGATAGACCTCGTTTCTACTATACCCCCCTTTTTTGCTGATTTTCTATAACACCCCCCTTTTCTTACGAATTCGTTATAATAGTCGTTAACGAGTAGTTGCAATATTGAAGAATATCGCGAAAATTTCTCCCTAGATGAAATTTCGCGATTTCCCCCCTCGCACTACTTCGCTGTGACCACGTGCAGGCGAATCTTCCGCTGCAAGTGGCAAGACAGGTGCCACATGGCATTTTCGTGGGGGTGATGAAGCTCGTGGAAGAAACCCACATTCGCGCCTTAGACAGTGATGTTAAAATGAAAATGAAAACACCCACATTGTCTAATTAAATAAACACTAACACTAAAATATACCATATGTAAAGACCCGGGTATTATGTATTTTTTTCCTATGAGGAGAACCCCCCCATTTTTTCCCTGTATTTTTAGCTATACCCTAGGGTGCTATGTCCGGGAGAATACGGAAATAGCAGGGAAATACAAGGCTTTTATATGATTATAAAGGAATATGAAAGGTTATACTTTTAACTGTTTTGCTGTTGCGGTTCGATACAGAGCCGACTCGGGTAATTGTTGAGATAATATCGAGACTTAAGCACTTCAAGGAAATTCGTGTAGTACAGTAAAGTACCGATAGGCTGACGTCAGCAAAGCGCTACGCGCCTTAGGATGACGTCAGCACGTAACTATAGGCCTCGCGAAAAGTCACGTACCGTTTCAGAACAGGAATAGCACAGTACAGTAGGCGAACAGGTACTTTACTCTAGCTATATATTTTGTATGTTTGTAATTTTTAAATATATATGATTTCAGAGACATTGATCCTGAAACATATCACTACATGGGCTTTCACTAGTCCAGACAAAGCCTTCTTAACTGGCTTTAATTCATACAAGACTTCCGCTACGACAGGAAGCTACCATCCTAAGTATTACGATCCTACTCAATCATTTCAAATTCTAACATGGTATTGCGAGCGTCTTAGGATATTACAAGCTTCCAACTACATACTCAGCAACTATGTCTGGCTCTCCACGATCCAACAACGGCTCTTCTGTTACGAGCCCATCACGCCCAACAGCGTCTCCAGCTACTGATAATTCTTATCTGCAGCAACAACATCAACAACAACAATATCAGCAACAACCGAAGTACGGCATGCCACTGAGCAGTCAGCCCGTACACACAACTGCAGCAGCGGCTTCATCGACAGCAGCCGCAGCAACAGCAGCATCAGCAGCCACAACAGATGCAGTTGCAGTCACTGGTTCTTCTAGTCAACCAGGACAACAGTCCAGTTTCGTACCGACTGGACCTTATCAATATCAAGGTGCTTACCAGCCAACAAATCTTCAACAACGTGTCAATGCTGCCGTCTTGTCACTTAACCAAATGTTTCCAACTCCTATGAGCCTTGATGGCTCCAGTTATCAGCATGGACTGATGCCACAAGGAAGCGACGGGTCGAATAACTCCTTCTCTTTCGTTCCTGCTGGACAAGGACAACAAGCACCACAAGGGTCACAGATGCCATCACTTTATCAGTTACAATCAGCTGACGGCACCGGAAACTATCTTCCCGCTTCTGCAAACCCAACAAAAATTAAAACGACAATGCCCTTTAACGGTCAAGACTTCTATACCTGGAGTTTTGAATTCGAGCTTCTTGTTCAGACCGCGGGATTCTGGCAGTTGTTCGACGGCACAGCACCCTTTCCGTCACACGGGTCACCACTTCAACAGGCCACTTTTCGATCAGCGTCGCTGACTGCATACACAGTTCTCGTTCGTAATCTGACACCGTCAAAACAGCTTGGTATTCGTCCTTTTCGTACCAGTGCCGCTCCCGCTGAAGCATCTTGGTTATACCTGCAAGGGGTTCACATGGCAAAGGACACTGTCAACCAGAGTAAAATTTTGACGCAGCTGTCAAATATACAGATGATAACCGGCGAGAAGGTGACGCAGTATATCAACCGCGCTCGAAATCTGCGCGACCAACTTCAGAAGTGTGGAGGATACTTCCCCGACGCTATGTTTCACACAGTGCTACTCGCGGGTCTTGGACCAGAATGGCGACAGTGTCGCTCTATTCTACGGATGCAAGCACAGTTTGTGAGAATGAGAACGAGAAATGAGTGAACTATGAAATGAAGTGAGTACAAATATGAAACCCTAATTGGTTGTACCCCCTATGGGATACCCCACTATAGCCTACATAACAGCATAAGCTACAATGTTCTGACACACCCCCATAGGCAAAGTGGGGGAGAACAAGGGGTCACAAGACCAGTCAAGCAAAGCAAAGCAAAGGAAAGCTCAGGGTGGATCACAAAGTCACCACACAGTCCGAGCACAGGGTCAAGGCCACACGGCCAGTTCACATGCAAGAGTACACACATATATATAAAGCTAGACAAGCAAGAGCAGGTATATATATATGTGAGAGTACAAGCAAGGTCAAGAGGAGAGCAAGTGAGGCAAGACGGGCACAAGACCCAGCTGAGTGCAGAAGCGCTGATGATCACAAGGCGGAAGTGCCTTGGTGAAGACATCAGCAGTGTTGGCCTCAGAGGCCACGTACGCAAGCCGCAACTGTCCACGTTGCTGTAGCTCACGAGCAAGGAAGTAGCAGAGAGCAATGTGCTTTGTTCTGTGCTCCAGTCGCTGCTCTCGACACAAGGCCAGCATGGCCTTGTTGTCTACGTACAGGACTGGAGGAGAACGAGGCGGCTCTCCAAGGTCGGTCAGCAGGTAGGTGAGCCAGCGAAGCTCCTGTGCAGCCATGGCCCCGGCGTAGATCTCAGCCTCACAACTCGAGCTAAGAACAGAAGACGAGCGAGTAGCCCGCCACGAAACAGAGCCGGAACCAAGGCTGGAGGTGTAACCCTGTGACGACCGCTGCGTAGCCTGGTCGTCAGCCCAAGAAGCGTCCGCGTGCCCAGTGAGGACCACTGGACTCCGCCCTCCAAGCACTAGCCCCATGCCCGACGTACTGCACAAGTAGCGCAACACCCTCTTCGCTGCAGCCATGTGCTCTGGTCTGTGTCTCCCAGGAGCAACATAGCGTGCAAGAATGCTAAGAGGGTATGCAAGGTCAGGTCGTGTGCAGGTCATCAGGTACATGAGGCAGCCAACAAGCTCTGGGTACGGGCCACTCGACTCTACGGACTCATCCGAAGGCAGAGCTGAGAGCGAGTGGCGAGTAGACAGAGGAGTGGCCTGAGGCGAGGAGTACGTGAAGCCGAAGCGCTGAAGGACCTGCTGCACCATGTGTGACTGAGTCAGGGTAATGGTGCGGCGTGCTCTGTCCCGGGTGATCTGCAAGCCAAGGTAGCTGCGCAGTTCACCCAGGTCTGTGCACGTGTGTCTCTTCTGCAGCTCGGACTTCACGTAGGCGAGTCCAGCAGTGTCAGCTGTGGCAAAGACCAAGTCGTCGACGTACACGAGGATGTAGAACGGCGGCAGAGAGGTGTCGGTGCGTAGAAACAGCGACGGGTCGGCAGTAGAAGGAGCAAACCCAAGAGCCGCAAGCGTAGTCCTCAGTGTGTCGTGCCACTCACGTGGCGCCTGGCGGAGACCGTAGACTGGACGTCGGAGACTCCACTGGGTACCAGGAGGGAAAGACCCAGTGAAGCCAGGTGGGCGACGCAGCCAGATCTCCTCGTGCAGGCTGCCCTGCAAGAAAGCTGTGCTGAAGTCAAGAGAGTGCAGCTCGTAGTCACGGTGAGCAGCAACGTGCAGCAGTACCCGAAGAGTGGTCATCTTCGGGGTGGGGGAGAAGGTCTGAAAGTAGTCAACTCCCTGCCGCTGACTGAAGCCATGAGCCACGTAACGCGCCTTGAAGACAGGCGGAGAACCCGGCGGCCGCTTCACCCTGAAGATCCACATGCCACTGACGATGTTCGCCCCAGGAGGGGGGACAGCGTCAACGTAGGTGCCTGTGGACTTCCAGGAAGCCATCTCTGCATCCATAGCTGCCTGCCACTGAGAGGAGTAGGGACCCTCTATCGCCTCCGCGTAAGAGCGCGG